GATGATAGCTGTTCATCGTTCAGCTTGTCACTCCAGTCCTGTTGATTCTTCAGCTCCCCCACAATTGAACCGATTGAAGTTCCGTAGATAAATCTATGCAATCTGTTGCAATGCCATCATCAACGATGCATCCTCAATTCTCTGCAACGTTAATTAAGAAGTGTTAGATACAATGTACGTTCGAAAATTGTCGATTTCTCTGCGGGTGGTGAGAAGCATTTCGCATCAATTTGTCGTGGTTGTTAGAGGACAATTGCGCCCGGCCCAATTAATGTTGGTGAGGCTAGCTGGCCTTCAATTCTACATGTAACACTCCATCGACGTCATAGAACATAAACGTGATTAGCGATACTGTTGTCTGTCAGATAGTCGTGCAGTTCGTAGGAGGTTATGTATGGTAAATCCCAGCTAGTGAGACTTTGTTTATCCCTAGCTCATAACAGGGATGCATCCACCAAGCCAATACTGATAAAATGATCATTATGGTGTTGCTTAACAAGCTGCGTGCTCGATCAAAAGGGTCGAATGTTACCGGTGCCGCGCAACGCGTTCTTGAGCGCCTTGGGGTCCGCCCAAGACGACGTCATGTAGTCCTCTGCGTCGTCTTCTGCCGCCTGTTGCAGCTCCTGCTGCTTTTTAAAGTAGAATGCCATCATTGCTTTGCGCTCCTCCTCACTCACTCCAGGCTCCCGACTCGGAGCGCCGCCTCCTTTCTTCTGTAGCTTGACAATGAGCGTCGACTTTTCGTTCTTTCCAGCGAGGTCGCGGACATGCTGGTCCCTGAAGAACTGCTTGCCGGCCCACCACAGCTCCGTCGTGTCCTCAGGCATGACTTCAAGCACAGCCGATGAGTCGGTCAGCGCGTCCTCCGCGCGTTCAGCGTCCAGCATGAGCGTCACCGGATCGTGTGCTGGCAGCCCCATGGGGAAGGCCATGGCAACGGCTCCGCGGATATTCTGCAGCTTCTCAAGCAGTTCGCCTTCCTCGATACAAATGCGACGCGCAACCTGCGCCTTGCTGTCCACCGCTGACTTGGCGTCGGCGGCTACGCGCGACAGCACGTCTTTGAGTTGCGGACTCACGCCTTCACCCGTGCGGTGGCCCAGCGGGTCCGCCTCGTAGAACTCGCCACGCTTCTTGTCAGCCGCTCCTTCCTGGTAGGCGTCCAGTCCCTGCTTCTGCGGCGACTTGGCCGCGCCGTAGCGGCCAAGGCCCTCCAGCGCGTCAGCAAGCGTCGACAGGCGCAGACGCAGGTTCTGCAGGCGACACAGCGATCGGATCAGCGTGTCGTTGCTGACAGAGACCGGTGTCTCGAACAGGAACTCGCTGCGGTCGCCGCGCTTCACGTGAAATACCACCATCGCAACGAATGCAGTAGCCAAGGATCGCTGGAAGCGCCCCTTCAATGGTTCTTTTACCTTTGATATAGGTACAGCGGGCGCTGATTGGATCGTCACAAATCGGCGCGGGATGATTAGCCCGTCACAAAATGATTAACTCTGGAAGTAGTTTTCCCTTTTAATTTGATATAGTCGAAGT